CGGAATGTGCTGGTACAGCAGAACCAACGTCATCTCGATAAATCACCAGGGCTCGGACAAACTGTGTGGACACTAACATGTGTAAGCGATAAAAACGAAGCTTTGAGGCAGGAAATGTCAGAGCCAGTGAATGAGACTATAAGGGTGCTTGCTATTTATGACCACCATGTGTTCGTTTGCATCAATTGTACGCCATGCTTGATCTTGATAGCATCTGAAGTGAAATACTATACTGTGTGTAAAGAAAGCCGAGAGGACCCAGAATAGGTACAGATGCAGATGTAGGAGAGAGATCCAGAAGCCTTTCCTCCAAAAAGCGGCCCGCTGCCACTACATCTACTAAGATGCCACAACCTAGGTTAAGAAAGAATGGCAAGTGGCAGTATACTGTGAGCAAATCTTGAGGCTTCACCAAGATCAGTACCTACATTCCCATCCTTATGACTCTTGAGTCCGTTCCCAAAGCTTGCACGGAGATCCTAACCTGCAATTGTTCATCCCAAGCTAAAAATACTAAAGTGATTGTAGGATAGTTTTTTATTCTTAGAATCTTTATTTTAGTTATTCCATTATTTATTCAAAGAAATCGTTCCGCACGTTGTTCACCGTACCGATAAGGGATGGCTCTGCAAGGCACAGCTGTCACGGCGTAGGAATTATTGATCGATCTAGGGGAAGGGGGAACGGAGCAAGACGAGCTCAATAGACGAAACGACGATTTGTCTTTTTGCGACTAAAGTACACCCAGACGGGGTTGTTTATTATGTAATTTTACTCTTATGGTCGAGACGCGGTCCAGAGTAGAATTAAGAGTGCGCAAATACAGTAAGACGGGCTGTTTGTGTAGTATTTTTAGTAAGACGAAGACGAGATACCCAATTTGACTTTTGTGACGTAGCTGGTGAACCGGGTGAACCCAATAACCGATCGATAAGTATTTTAAGTGCCTGTCAAACATTATTTCATCAATTCATTCTCTTTTTATATTATCGGGGTCGAAATACCTTCAAAACGTTGTTTCTCCAATTGTTACATGGAATGCTTCTTGCATTGTTCATTTTTGAAAACGTGACTGGTCTATTAGAGATCATGCGAGGCGTACCACTGATATTCATGGATATACAAAATTGAACATTCTCTCGACTTAGCTCTTCAGCGGCTCCGATAAACCTGACTTTGGAGCCTGCAACAGCTGCATAGTCACTTCGATTTGCCTCTATCGTTTTACACATGGACCAGGTTGTTCTACCTTCGAACGTTAGTGGTTTGAGTTGGCCACCTACGGAAGGGTCACAACATATCCATTTACTGCTGCTTCCGTTGTGTTCATTTATCATGACTCTTCCAAAGTTAATTTATAGAATTTTTAATACCTATTTAGAAGTACCAGTCATTCTAGTGACTAAACGTATGTCGCTTCTTGAACAGACAAATGAAATTAGGTTAGGAATTTCCTATTTGTACATGAATTTGACGTATTAGCAATCGACATTCGTTTTTGTTGGTAATTTTTTGTTTTATCTGATTCGTGATTGATAAATAAGGATGGGGTTATTCTAAATGGGTATTAAAAATACTATATCTACATTCAGGACAATAACACAAAAATCACGACACCCACCCTCGAATATCATTTACCGCTTTTAATACTTGAATAACTATTCCAAGTTCCTCTACTATAGTGGCACTGGTTGAAGAAATTCTTGAGACTTGCAAGTGTTCATCAGGAAGTTGGGACTTTCCGTCAGGAAATAAATAATGTACAGAATAAAATTGGGATGTGACTTAAGATCGAGGAATATCCCAGCGTCGCCTGCACTGCACCCGGTATTGAAGTTGAGCCACCACCCTATAACGGAAAGACATCATGAGCCAATGTACAGACGTCAATTCGAGACTGTTGCAATGGCTAATGGTTGGAGCTCAGCTGAAATGGCAACAGGGTTGATAAGAACATTGCGTGGCCCTGCCTTAGATCTATAAGAGACTCTTCCTCTTGGTTTTGGTGTGGTGGCCAAAAGTGAAGCAGTAGACAGAGCAAAACCTATTGGCAGTTGTACAAAGGTATGCATGTCTTGGAATATCAGGTGCCATGAACACCTGTCCTACCGCTGCTATAGAGGTCATGTTAGATATCATCCCTTTGCACATTGCAGTGAGGAGGGAGGCCTACGTGGGGGCCTCAAGGGTTATACGGTCTCTAAACCTAAAGGAAGGGGAACTTGTTGGACATATCATTGAAGAATGCCATGGTACACCAACAAAACCGGTGAACATCATGCCACCCAGATACGAATTTAATCACCTTTTTAGAGTGACCGCAGAAGGTCACAAAAGTGACAAGTGACAAGATTGTACATAAATTCCCAAACGGTTCATTCATCTGGTACACAGATGGATCGAAAACAGAAGAAGTGGTCGGAGTGGGCGTATATGGCCCAAAATGCAGGCCTTAAGAAAAAACCCCACCATATTCCAAGCGAAAACGTACGCAATAGAACTCTGCGGCAGAAAGTGTCTTGAAATAGATGCAAGAATCTTCATCAATTGACAGTCAGGCAGCGCTCAAGGCTCTTAACAGCTTTGTCACTAAATTCAGGCTAGTCTGGGACTGTCAGCAACTTCTAAAGCAACTGGCGAACTGCAATAGAGTCACTCTAGTATGGGTACCCGGGCACCAAAACATAGAAGGAGATGAAATAGCGGACCGGCTTGCAAGAGAAGGCGCCGCGGCACCATTTCTCGGTCCAGAACCCTTCTTTGACCTGACAAAAAGCCATGTAAGGACCAAACTCAAAAAATGGGTAGAGGCACAACAGGCCTTCCATTGGAACAATACTCCCGGACTTAGACAAGCGAAGCAATTCATCTCGCCAAAGTTAGCAAATGCAAAGGAACTACTCGAACTCAGCAAACCAGACTTGAGGCTCATAACGGGTCTTCTCACCAGCCACTGCCCTCTTGGCTACCACCTGAAAAAGATGGGTAAAGCTGAATCAGACCTTCTGCAAAGAACCATCCGAATCTGCCGAACATATACTCTCCAAATGCGAAGCATTATGTCACAGAAGACTCATTCATCTGGAGCAGACATATTTGATTGCTGCGGATGTTAAACGAACCAATCCCGGAAAAAACATGAGATTCCCGAAAAGACTCAACCTGGGAACAACTAAAAAAGGGGAAGCACAATAGATCTATTCAGGTCGCAGTGCACTTAAACGCCTCTATTACAATCTAATCTAGTATTTTGGACTATGACATTTCTACCTCAGTCATTTTTATTGACTTTCAGCATCATTGAAAGGCCCTCAAAATCATTAAGAGACACTTTACGCACGTGTTAGAGACAAATTTTTTCCTACGAGCTTCATATCCACATAGGTAACAACAAAAATTAAAAAAAAAAAAAAAAACGATAATTTGTTCAATTATTTAATTATTTTTAATTAACTTGAAGCCAACCTATTCATTAAAAAATTACATACCAAAAAAAAGTAAATAAAATCTATTTTTTTTTTTTTTGGTAATTCCCCAAGTCAAAAATTTAGTAACTATGTTGGCAACACAAGCCTTTTCTACATAAAAAATTTGAAAGCATTGACAATTTTACATTGTATTGCCAACATAATGTCATTTTTACTTTTATCTTAAAAAAACAGACTTTAAAATAGGTACCTACTATAGAAAATCTTCGTCAGAGCTGTTCATCTTAATAGCGTTTAAATTTATTGAGAAAGAAGTTTGTAGGTTCTTGCATATAAATGGAGAACAAATCTGACAATGTGTCAGAGTTATTGGCTGATACAGAAGCAGAGAAAAAATATGTTATCATGTGTCAAAGTCGATAGGTGCACTTATTGTTGACAATTAGTTTCACATTTCTCCACTCAGTGCGGATACAGGAAACTTTGATACAGGCCTTATCTGCACGGAGTGCGGTAAAGTGTAACTCTGCGCAAGAAAATGCATGCGGAACAGTACAACTTTGCGCACGCTCGTAGGAAAAATAAGTATCTTTACATATTCATAGTAATTTTTTTCAAATGAATATTTCTTGAAAATCTTGAAAACATTCACAATACATACAAATGGCAACAGAAAAATATTCCAAATGCAAATCGGTAATTAGTAGCAAATACATTACGAGACACTAGGGAAGAGTGGAATTAAATTGATCCAAACGAGAGATCACAAGAAATAACATCATATCAAAAGCCATCACGAAAGACGTGAGAAAATACAAACATGATTAGAAGATGAAATAAAGGAAATTACAAAAAATACATTCCTATGTTTTCGCTCTTCTCAGTGCCAGTTAAAAGTTCTCAATATCTTTTCGTCTTCCAGTTTTAAATTTCCCACAGGTTTGCCTACTAATTTTATCAGAATGTGTTCAGAAATTAGAGTTTCATAGATTTCTTCTCCTAGAAAAAATCCATAGAGTATCAATTTCACTTTTCCCTAAGTATGTCTTTGATCTTGCGACATTCGCAGAAGAAATTTTTAATCTTACAACTAGGTACTCAGAACTTTTTGTCTTCAACTTTCTATTTTTTACTTGAAATTGTCACTGATCTTGTACTCTCATCTTAATCTTTTTAATAATTCAATTTTTTCAATTCTTTAGGTGCGGCTCACATAGTTCAAGTTCTGTTTTCAGATATTCTTAGTTTATAACAATTCAACACAATTCTTGCAAATTATTTCAATTCTATAGATTGTTCCAATTCCTACTAAATAGTTCATTAAATAAAGAGACGATACAATCGAGGAAAGGACCATCAGTTCAAAGCTGTCACTATCATCCATATGCACATAATATACACAGATACGATATCCGCGTATGTGTGGTTGGCCGATCGGATTTATTTAGTCAAATGACGTAACTGAAAAACGGGGGAGACATCCACATGCATGTTACAACAATGATATATGCGGTTTCAGGTATAGACAGATAGCCTAAACCTAGATTAAATTTCGTAGATGGCACTTGACACTTATTAGCAACCACTTGATTTTCTTGAAAACAAATAGTATATTATTTATAATCTTTGTAAATCGGAATCAGTAATCAGTACTATTTTGGGTGAACGTCGTTATTGGTCGTGTATGTGCACTTGCGAAAATGTGTGTATAGTTTAAAAACAAAAATTGTGAAAAAATAATGTAAGTAATTTTTTTTTTTTTAATTTGATGTTTTTGACCAAAAATTTTTCCCATTTTTCTCCATCAACCCCAAACATTTTGCTGGCAATCTTTTTTGAGGGAACTTGTAGTCGGGTGCAAATTTATCTTCCAGAAATATCATTTACAAATTGCAAAAATTCGATCACTATTCTGGGAGAAACTGGGAAAACCTACAATAATGATAAAGTTTTCATTCACATAAAATCGGTAAAATAATGATTAAAATATGTATAAATGAATTAGGATCAAGTGATTTTACAGATAATTTATTTTTCATTATAAATTGTTGTATTTGACTTTGTTTTTCTTAGTTTTTTCCAGTTCTCACACAAAAACTTTAATTTATACTCCCTAGAAATTTGAAATTTCTTAGAGAATTGGGAGTTTTTTAAAAGACGATCAAAGCAAATTGACTTAGAAAAGATACCATACCTCGACTTCTGAGCCGGAAATCGAGATCCGGTTTAAGATTTTTGAGAAACTTTAATTTATACTTCATAGAAATTTGAAGTTTCTCAGGAAATTGCAAGTTTTTAACAGGATGTCAAAGCTAATTTTTTAAAAAAAATATATTGAATTGACTTAGAAAAGATGCTGTTAATATTTCATGTTTCAATAACATTACGACTGGTTATTTAACTGTTTAGATTTCAGTAGTCTAATAACGTCGCGACAACGTTGCAGAAAAACTATGGTTGCATATTTTGACTTTTAAACAAATACTTGTGTACTAGTTAACATGTGATTGACCGCTTTTCTGGTTGTTTTGGCCAGTACATAAAAGGAATAAATCAATAATCCTAAACATAATTTCAAACCATGCAATATAGGTAGAGTTCAAGTAGACGCTCGGAGCTGCTGTTTTGTTATTTTATCCCTGCTTTTCTCATCATAAGGAAGAAAGACGCAAAATGCTCCGCACGCTCAGTGCTTCAAGATTAACTCGCACCGATAGTATTCAATAGTCGTTTTCACGTGATTCGTTAAAATTACTTCAGCTGGTTGTTTAAAATTTGGTCAAAACATCTTTAAAAAATATTCGTTTAACATAATTATTATTTATTTGTTCATAAAATTACTCAATTAGAAATATTATTTGTACGCTAAACTAAATTCCATTAGATTCTTTGCATTGCTAAATCAAATTAGCACCTTCAGTTACTCTATTTATATATTTAATTTGAATTATTTAGTTATATCTACTAGTGGCTCACTTTTTAGTTTCTGATTAGAAACTTTAAATATAGAATATAGCACTAGTCTTGCTCTTCACCTTGGTTTCGTTTCCATTCATTTCACTTGCAACAAGATTATTTCACTAAACACTTGTAAAATTCCACGTGCTTGATAATAATTAGTATTTGTACTATATTTATCAACTAATTTTATGTCAGAAATTGGGTCAGTGGATATTACTTAAACTATATTTTTGAGAATTAGGTTTCAACTTTCCCATTAGTGGAAGAAATGTAGGTTTTTATCTCGGATGTGGTTCAACCCATTTGGATTTGAATGATTTTGCATTTGAAATAGTGCAAACTTAAAATTGCTACTAGAACTTTAAGGGGATGAAAATTGAAAAGATACGGTAAAACAGAAAATTTAAAAAAAAAAATTGTGTCTCAGACAAAGATTGATTGAAAGAGGTAGGTTGCCTGATAACTTCTATGACGTCATCTGGATGCCTGCAAATCTCCAACCTATTAACTTTAGGAACCTTGGTCTCAGACAGCATTTTTGTTCATAAACTAAAAATTAGTGAAAATTTAGGAAATTTTGGTGGAATCATTTTACAGGAAAAACAACACATTCAAAAAGTAAATTATTTTCAAAGTTAGTAGATGAATATTTCCAAAATATTTGTTTTTCAATTATTACATGTTTTTATTTTACACCATATGTAATTCTCACATCTCTTACAGGTTTGAAGGTTCGATCGGTCACTTCACTTTTGTTTACTTCAAAGCAGGCCGAAAGTGACAGTTCTCCTGTCACTTTCGGCCTGGATAACTCAGTTTCGGCCTGATCTTCCACACCTAAAACACAAATCCAGGTACAATATTTGTATTAAGAAGTAGATGTCACATGTGTTTATATATATTGTTGAAATTTCATAAAATGTCAATGTCGGTGTTAGAGTGTCAGTCGAAATTCGATTTTTGTCATATTTATTTCAATAATTAATGGTTTAAAATAAAATAGTATACATATTTCAGACGAAAGTTTTCGCATATATTGTCTCGAGAATTGGTTGACCTCGGCGTTTTGCTCCTCGGTCAACCATAATGTCTTTCGACAATAATGAAACACTTTCCACCTCCGCATGTAATATACTATTATCCACTTCTAACTTCTTCGCATTCAAGTTGATTTTCTTCTCAAATTGTGATACCTTGGTGGGTGCACAAAAATAAAAGCAAGATTGGTGTGTTTAGATTTCCATTCAATGTGGTCCATATAACTAATAATTCGCAAGAAGAAAAATCCTTGCCATGGTTTGGAATTCTGAAAATCATACATTTTGTAATCAACAAAAATTTCATAAAATCTCAAAAAATATTTTGAATGGCTCAAAGATTCCAACATAACGAGAAGTACTGAAAACAGCTGCAATGTCCGTCTACGATCCCCTAGGTTTAATTTCTCCCATAACTATTAAATCACGAATGATTCTTCAACTGGTTTGGCGAGCTGGAATAGGTTGGAATGCTTTTATAACTCTAAATATTCATTCAAAATGGTGTAACTTGCTAAAAGAATGAGATGAAGTTATGGAAATTGCAATTCCTCAATGGTATTCTATTAAAATTTCAGAAACAATGTTTGTCGATGCAAGAGACGTAATGTAGAAATAGTTTACCCGAAAATTTTTATTTAAGGAATACAATCAAATTAAGATTGTTCTTGCTCCACTGAAGACTTTATCTGTAGGTACCAAAATTAGAACCTATGACAGCAGCATTATGGGAGGAAAACTATCTCAAGAAGTACCTAGCAAAATACCTACAGTTTGACTTCCAAAGAAAATGTAATTGGTCTGATTCAAAAACTATTTTGCAATGGCTAGAAAATCCTCCTAACATTACTATAAGAGTTGGTGAAATTTGGAACAATGGAGATGGGTGTACGACAATGTTGCTGATGTTTCCACAAGGAGTATCTCAAAAACTACCTACTTTAAAACCAAATTATTGCTGGTTTACAGGATCAAATTTCTTATTCTCGATAAATTAACTGGTCCAAAATTTCAATATCAAATTATGAACAAATAATGGAAAAAAAATTTAAAATTGTGGGGAGTAAAAACTACATACACCTGGATTAAATTATTGCGAATAACAGCAAGAATCCGACAATGCTACCTGAAACTGCGAAAATTTAATGAGTAGGTATAAAAGTATCTGACTCTAGAATATTTGAAGTTGGCAGAACAACAATGGTGGAAAATATTACAGCAAGATTGTTTTCCAATCGATTTGAAAAATCTTCACAACAAAATTTTGCATAAAAATGGTCGTTTACCTAATAGTAGGCCCTATATTGTTTATCGAGTGACGAAAACAATATACTACTTAACGACCATTTTTGTTCAGAATTTTGTTGTTACTCGTCTACGAGTAAAACACTATACTTTTCCTATGACCATATTATAATAAAACATCCATAGGTTATTCAATGAGGAAGTAATAGATGGCGCTGGATAATTTTATTAGTATATTACATTACGAGTGAAGAAAGTGACAAATTACACACGAGTGTATGAAAGACGCTTTCTCACAAGTGATGTACACAATTTTTCCTACGACCAGAAACCGATTTACACCAATTTTCTCTTATTTTATTTCTTTTTATTTTCAACACATGTGCTGAAAGTACTTTCCACCCACGTATTGAAAGTAAATTGTGACGTGAACCACAAACTATGTCAACAGTATTTTCCATACGTATGCTGAAAGTACTTTCAGCACGCGTATTGAAAGTACTTTCGGCACGCGTGTGATATTTAGCGCTTTGCAAAGAACCAACTAGTGCGGATTTTGTCACTTTCGTATGTGGTCGTAGGAAAAAATATTTTCGCTTTTATTAAATTAAAATAAAGCAAAATTCACATATTTTGTGTTGAATTATGTTTTTTCATTGTGTTTTACAGAATTAAATTATAAGTAGATTTGAAGGTATGTATACAGGGTGAGTTCGAAATAAGTGCGCATTTTGTTATGATAGATAGAGTACAGTAGGATAATCACTTTTTGCATAGGTACAGGGTGAGTAACTATAAGTATTTTGACACCCAACTGCAGTCGTAATTACAGGTGATTGGTGTAAATACAAAAGTTGTATCATTTTATCTGAACCACCAGAATTTTCAACTAGAATGAAAAAATTAGCAACACAAAATAAAAAAGTATGCCAATGTTCACATTTTTTAAATGGAATGCACTTTATTCTCTTCCAAATTCCTAAAGTTTTCGTTTTTCTGATTCAGATTGATTAGGTATATAATATACATATTAATGTTTCATGTTTCCTTCAATAGTTTTGAAAATATCTGGAGTTTAGTTATTCAAAGACCTATTAAAGTATCAGAATGTTTTGTGAACAGGTGACAGGTAAATCAAGGTGAAATATATGCAAAAAACTACTGTCTTTGAACAACTAAACTCCAGATATTTCCAAAACTAATGAAAGTAACATTTTCATATAATTTAATCTGAATCAGAAAAACGAGAACTTAAAGAATTTGGAAGAAAATAAAGGGCATTCCATTTGAAAAAAGTGAACATCGACATATTTTTTAATTTTGTGTTGCTCATTTGGTCAATCTAATTAAAAATTCTGGCGGTTCAGATAAAATGCATAACTTTTGTATTTACAACTTTTACCTATCACCTGTAATTACAACTGCAGGTGGGTGTCAAAATATGGTGACTCACCCTGTACATATGTCCGCAAACGTCTCCTTAAGAAAATACATAGTT